CTTTTCCTTTTACTTAGTTTTCTATGATTGGATGGCTTGTTTATTCACAATCCCTTGATCAGTAAATTATATATTCATATTTAAGTGTACTAAAATTCTCATGTGAAATCTCTTCCCTATACTTTTAGTTGTATCAGGTATGTTGTAGCTTTCACATTTTATTTGAATACGAGCTCTACTCCCCTGGTGCAGGGTAGACTGGTTTCCTTCTCTGCTCCATGGCTGTTATCTGACACATCTTCTACCTTTTCCCTAAACTTTCCCTTTATTCTTTTCCTGGGTTGGAGATGCCATTCCCTGTATCTTTTTCCTTCTTTCCTTTGGGCTTATTCTTTCCGGGATATTAACAAGAGAAGGATACTAGGAAGTTAATTTCTTGAGACTTCAACTACCTGAAAGTTTTTCATCATCATTATCAACATTTAACTTTTGTTTGAAAGTTTGGGAGTGCATCACAATCTGGATTGGAAGTTAACATTTCTTAGAATTATGGAAGCTTAAGTGGTACTCATAACATGAGTTTCATTGTGTTCTCATTTACTCTTTACATAGGATCTGGTTGTTCCTGTTTAAATTGTCTGTCTCTTTGCGCTATCCTCAGTGTTCTAATGTCAAGAGCTTTGTAATGTTTTGAACAACCAATAGAAAAAATAAAACAAACCCACTTGAATCAAATGTATGAAATATGATATGTCAAGATCATTGTAATGTTTTGAGTAAGCAATAAAAAAAGAATTTTGCATATAAAAAAATAAAATTCAGTGATGATTTACCTTGGTAGGAAGCTTTACAAATCCATCTGATGAGCATTTCTTTTTTCAAGTCCTGACAAGAAGGGAGATTTTCTTGTATTATTCTTGAATATTTTCCCCTTCTTTATTTTTTCTTTGTATACTGTTGGGGTACCTATGAGTCATATGTTTCTATTTCATCAACTGCCTCTCTAACACTCAGTTTTTATTTTTTTGAGGAAGATTGTCTCAAATTTATCTCCTAAACTTTGTAGGAAGTTGCTTTAAAAATCTTGATATCATATTTTTAATTGATAAGTATCCCATTCTTGTTTTGTGACTAAATGGTTTGAGATGGTTTCTAGCTGAGGATAATGTTAGGTTTTTTATTTTCTTTGATTTCCACCATTGTTTATTCTTTCTGATTCTTTTCTCTTTGGGCTTTTTCTCAGGTTAGAATTTTACTTAATGTTCAGTGTCCCTGGCACTAGAAAGCAGGCTGAAGAGTCATGTTGAGGGGCAGGTGAGGAGTGGTCAAGCAGTCAAATACTCTGCAGCCTCCAGACCAGGGAAGGTAGCCTTGGGAGAGAATAGCTCAATGGAAGTAGTTTTGTCTTCATTATGTAGACTTCTTTTTTTTTATGTTAACGTTTTAGTATAGGGTTAAAATAGATAGATTTATTTATTTTTGCTGTACTTGAGATTGAATCCAAGGGTGCTCTGCCTCTGAGCTACATTCCCAGCCCTTCTTATTTCTTACTTTGACAGAGTCTCACTAAGTTGCTCAAGCTGACCTGGAACTTGTGATCCTCCTTCCTCAGCCTCCTGAGTTGGTCGGATTAGAGTTGTGTACCACCATATCCTACTGGAGTTAAGTTTTACAAGAAAAATTTTATCAAGGTATTTGTGGGTACCTTGTATTATTCAAGAATAATATAAGGTATTTGTGGGTACTAGAAAGAGGTAAATTTATATGTTTATTCTACCACGTTTAAATGAAAACAAACAATTTAGGACAAGAATAATATAGCTCATAAACAAACAATTTAGGACAAGAAAGTCTTGAAAGTAACTCTAATAAGATTTTCAAAAGGTATTATTTTTAGAATAAATATTTACTGAACTATAACCTAAATACAGATTGTGATCCATTTCCTAAAGGTGAACAGACTCATGTAACCAGCAACATGACTGAGAAGCAGGCTAATCAACACTCAGAAAACCAACTCATGCCATTTCCAGTTACCACCTCTTTTCATTGAAAGGTAGGGGTGTCCTGACTGCTAACTCCACTAATTAGCTTTGCCTTTAAAACATTTTTTTAATTAACAAGGATTGTATATATTTATGGTACACAATATGAATATACATTTTGATATGTATATACATTAGAGAATGATGAAATCAAGCTATTTAATATTGTATTATATACTCTTTTGTGTGGTGAGAGCACTTAAAGTCTACTCTCAGCCATGTTCAAGTATACAACAGGTTGTTATTAACTGTGGTCATGATGATATGCCATGAATCTCATGAGTTATTCCTCCTGTCTTACTAAAGTTTTATGTCCTTTGACCAACATCTGCCAGTCCTCCTCCCTCACCCTACCACAACTATCCTAGGCTCCAATAACCACCTATTAGACTTCTCCACGTGGTGCTAGTTCATTGGCGAGGCTGGGTACTTAAGCTAGGACAGACCGACCGCTCGCGCTCTTTCCTTGCTTGTTCCCGTTTTCTCATCATGATTCAAAGGTCCTGAGTAAACTGCTGAAAGAAGAATCCTGCGTCGTGTTTCCTTTGCCGGCGAGGGGTCGCGACAGCTCAAGACACTACAATGATCTTGACATATCATACATTTGATTCAAAAAATTTTTAATATCCCTCTTAATTTCTTCATTGATTCATAGGTTGTTTAGAAGCATATTATTTAATTTCCAATGTTTAAATAATTCTTTTCTGAACTTTCTTCTATTATTGATTTCTAGCTTTATGTCATGGTCATCAGAAAAAATTACTTGATATGATTCCCATTTTAAATTTGTTAAGGCTTATTTTGCAGCCTCACATATGATCTATTCAGGAAAACAATCCAAGTGTTCCTAAGAAAAATGTGTGTTCTGTTGCTGTTACATGGAATGAGCATTCTATATATCTCTGTGACATCAGGTTAATTTAGTTATATTTCAAGTCCCAAGATTCCTTTTTATTTGTTACTAAAATTTGCACATCAAAGTCCCCAACTATTATTCTATTACAGCCTCTCTCTTTGAAGGTCTTTTAACATTTACCATATATATTTAGGTGAGGTGGGCAGCCATGACTCCCTTTATGAGGTGCCCTGTAGGAATTGTTGTTGGTTACCTCAGTGACAAGAGGTGCTGGTGTCCTCTGTGGAGTGACCATGGAGATGGTAGTGGCTCCTGCTGTGGATAACATGAATAGCATTCAACTTTACCCTCTATTATGAGCTGTCTCTTAGTATCTCAGGTATGCTGGTGTGCTGATCTTACCAGTAAATATTTTTTCCATCATTTTGCTGAAAATTCTTTAATGGGACCTTAAGCTCTTTAGGTTATTTTGACTTGTGAAGAGCTGTCTATATTTTTGTTTGTTTGTTTTGGTGATGTGGGGGAGTGTATTTCCTAATTCTTTCATCATCATGACATCTCTATAGTTTTGCCTGTTTTAAACTTTGTAAAAATGTCGTCATACAATATGAACTTAAAGCAGGTATCTTTGGCTAAATATGATACTTGTGAGATTTGATCATATGGTTGCAAGTAGTCAATTTTACTGATTAATAAAACATATGTATATACCATACTTTCTTTTTACCCTTTCCAAAGCAGTTTATGACAGTTACCTGGCTCATATCTGATTTGGGATAGCTATGCACAAGCTGCTGTGACCATCTCTGCCTACATCTTCTGTGTGCCCATGTGTGCACTCAATTTTTTTGGGTGTACACCAAAGACTGGAAATGCTGGGTTGTAGGGTAGTCATGTTAAACTTTTGTGGTTGTATCAATTCATATCCTAAGATTGAGTGTATAGAATTTCCAGTTGTGTAGTATTCTCACAATTGTTGAGTATCATTCCACTTCAACTTTGCCATCTGTTGAGTCTGGAGTACTTCTTAAAAGTTTTCAAATATTATGTTTTTCCAGCATTTCAGATGTGAATCTACCCCAAAGTAAGAGCAGTATCCCATTCCAGCATTGCTTCACTTACTTTTAAGAGTTCTGGAACAGTAACGTCCTCATTAAACTCTCTCAGGGGTTTCTTCATTACTAACTGTACAATACTATGTTAGAGGATAACTGTAAGGTTTAACGCAGATTATGCATGTAAAGCACTGGCAAAGAACCTGCTGAGATGTCTTAAAATCATCCCAAACTCACTAATCCTGTCTGAATGCCTGTTCTTCCCCACTCTTCCTGACCAGGTTCTCTTGCATTGTTCCATATTCCAGGACACTGACATTTATGTCTCACATTGCCTAATGGCAAAAGCTGGGGATTGTTCTGTGACTGCTTCACTCCAGTGCCTCATCTCTGGTCTACTCTGCAGCTGGCTCCATTGCTGCTCTCTTAACACCGGCATTCTGCTCTCGCCATTCCCCACTCACTTTCTTCTCTCTTCACTCTTAGTGTGTCCTTGTATTTCTCCCAATCCATCCTTATCTGTATGCTGTCACATTAAATAAAAATGACATTATTTGTTCATCTGGTGCAGGAAGGGAAACAGATAACACATTTTTGTTGATAACATCATCTCTGCAAAGTCTCACTACTTTATTGTAAAGTTATTTTCTCCTGTATCCTTGGTTTTAATTCCCCTCTGTGCCTCTAGTATGTGTGTGTGTGTGTGTGTGTGTGTGTATATATATATTATGTATAACTTACATAAAATATATATTATATAAATACAAATGTATCATTAAATATGATATATAAATAATGTATTTACATATTATATTTATGTTATATTTATGATATATTTTAGACTATATAATAATCATATATATAACATATATAATAAGCATATATAATATAATAAATACATATATTAGAAATTATAAAACAGAAGATATAAGATATTGTATATGTTACATATATGTAATTACATATTATATATATAATTTTTGCTATAGAGCTCGCTTTCTTACTTTTTCATTCAATACTATGTTTTTAAGATCTAACTAGGCTTTAACTGCTGCATGACACTTCAATATGTAAACCTCTTGTTACTTTATACATTTATGTAAACAGCCACCTGGGCTCTCCCCATTTCCACAACACTACGACCAACATTGTCATGAATGGTTTGCGGTGAGTATCACCCCTCACAGGAAGGGGTCACTCATCCTAAATTATGTTTTCCAAGTGGCTCTGTGGGGTTACAGAGCAAAGCATAGCTAACTCTACTCTATCCTTTCACTTCTGTTTCATTACATTCTTTTTTTCTTCTTATTTCCCCCTTTTTCTTCATAGTTCCCACATAAGAGAGAAAATATTTGATCCTGACTTTCTGATTCAGGTTTATTGCACTTAGCATGAGATTCTTCAGTTCCATCTGTTTTCCTGCAAATGCCATAATTTCACTCTATTCTATGACTGAGTAAAACTCTGTTGTATATATGTATGACAATTCTTTTTTAATCTGTTCATCTGTTAGTGGACACCTACTCTGGTTCTATAGCCTAGATATTGTGAGTTGAGCTGCTGTAAAATGAGTATCCATGCAGGTTTTAATATCACCAAGATAAGCCATTTGCACATGACTTTTCCAAGCCCTCTTCATCCATTCAACAACTGCTTCTACCTACTTCATATCTCATTTGGCTTAAACATCATTTCCTCAGAAGTCTTTTGTACCTGGTCCTGACATTTTCCTAATACAATTTTATGGAATCCTGTTCCTTTAATATGAACCACTGAGCCTGATGTGTAATTACACACTGGTCTACGCAGTCATTTGTTTTCTTTCTCCCTGTGTTGCTAGGTCCCTGAAAGCAGGTGCTATAACTTTATAAATTCACCCTTTTATTTCCAGTGTCTATCATAGTACCTGCCTAATAATGCTCACTCAATAGGTATTTGCTAAAGAAGTGAATCCTGTGTCAAAAATAATTTTGAGAAATCTGGGTCAATTTTGTAACTGATTCAAATAATTCCTCCTGTATATTTGAGATTTCTCTGAGGTTCTCATATGTAGCTGATAATAAAGTCTTATTCTCTCCCTTCAATACTTTTGATTCCCTGGTTTCACCATACCTGCCCAATTTAATCTCCTTTATATCTTTGTATTGTGGAGGAGCTAGGTCTTCTTTTATTTAAAAAAAAAAAAGAAAGAAAAAAAAAAAGAACCAAGAAGACTATTCCAGACATGCTTGAAGTTACACCCACATAAGTTTACTCAGGAACAAAATGTCAAATGGTGTAATGTTAGATAAAAACATCATTCTCCATCATTCTGTTTGAAATTGGAGAACTTTAAGTTTTAAAGTGAGCATGTTCCAGGGAGCGTAAATTATTTCACATTTTAAAACTCTGAGGGAGGCTGTTCAGAGGCAGTAAGTGAATATTTTTGAAACAGTTGCCTTCTGTGTCACCAATTTGATACCTGAACAAGTAGCAAAAGTGAGACAGTGTTAATTGTCAATGATTTACAGAGTTTAGAGTGTGCAGTGAAGGGGATAGAAACTTCCCTTTTCAGACTAAGATGAATTTTAAAGCCAGAGTGGATGCTACATCAAAGAGTGTTGCATGCTCTTTGTATTAAGAACTTTCTAATGAAAACTCAGAGTTGAGTTTCCTGTAGTTTCTATTGATCCAGTAACTGGGCATGTCAAATCAAACCGCTGTTCCCTCCATCCCTAGGCTAAAGCACTGGTGGTTTGTGACCTGGATGACGGTGTTTTCTCTCTTTCCTTTTCCCCCTGCTTTTGGGCTCCACTTATTCTCTTCACTTTATCCATCAATAGTTTAATATGCCACAAGATGCTTAATACACCTCCATGTCTGAGAGCTCAGGGGTCCTCCTGCCCTGGGCTCTACAATGAGCAGCACATTCATGAGCCACAGTGTTCTCTGGGCCACAGAGAAGGACATGGTCCTTTCTCAAAGATTTCACTTTCTTCCAGAGGTGCTCAATCCTGAAAGTAGGCTCAAGAGAATGCTATGTTTTAACAACAAAGGAAAAAAAATGTTAAGAATTTTAAATTACCCAGCCTGAAAATATTGTTTAGAACTGTTTGACCAATTTTCACTTTTTAGAAAGACTAAGTAGTTACAAAAAAAAAAAAAAGTGAAATTGGTTAAGGATTTTTTATTTTTAAAGATAAAAGTGAAAACATGAGGCACTTGTGAGAAAGGCGTGTTTTCCAGTTTCTGTGATGATTTTGAAAGGAGTTGATGCCAAAATGCACAGAAAATTAACAGCACTAGAAATAGCAGAATGATGGAAAACAGCGAATATGTCTTCACTGAGCACTGAGGACAAAAAGAAAGGATTGATGGAAAGTTAATTTCATCATTTTTTTCTTTTACTATGTATAAGAAATAGTTGTTTATACCTTATAAAGTATATTAGTTGATAGAGATACAAAGGTGATTGACAGGTACACGCCCCCTCAAAATATTTTTGATGTAATGCTTTGGTTAATAAGAGATAAAATACAAAGATCTCAGTGACAATATTTGGTTAGAAATTTTAGTTTAAAGATCATGTTAAGTATAACTCAGAAATAAACAAACATAAGGCAAATTGGACTTAACTAATTTAACTAGATACAGCAAACAATAAAATGAAAGTAAAACTAGTACAAATGTACTCTATTCATTCATACTCAGGATTACTTCTATAGATTTTAGTTATCTTATTTTCTCAATCATCTTTATATGGATTCTTAAATATAAACCATCATCCATCTTTCTGCCTAACCAGTTATAATTTGTATTCTTACCAGTCAACTACCTTAGCAATATTTAATTACTGTAGTACAAAATTTCCATTGCAACAAACTTCGGGTATAAGGAAATCTTCATTAGAAGAAAGTCAACAGACTTTGTATCTAGTATTGATTTTAAATGATTATCAGAGTGCTTTTTCAACCTAGTAGTACATTCGTTTATGATGAATGTTTCCAGTATGAGGTTATTTTGGTATGAGAGAAGAATGGAAGGCGATCTTGTGTTCCAAGGGAATAAGACCCCTGGGAATGAAAGTCTTTGGAACAATGGTGACATGGCATTCTTCTGGCTCCATGAAATCTCAGCAGCATTTGTCACATGGTGTTGGAGTGAGTTTCATTAAATAAAACAGCGTTTGAAGTTAAGCGCCAGCAAATACAAAACTATTCTTTCAATCTCACCATTAATTAATGCCTAAGTTGAATATTTTGAAATTTGTAGCATTTTGTGACCCCTGCCACTCAGTCTAAGAGATTAAATATTAAGATAAAATCAAAATGGATTGACTGGTTTTTATAGCTTTCTCTTTTTCTGAACTTGAATTTCCTATCATTGATTCTGTACCACAAGCATAGAACTGAAATTAATAATAAAAAGAAATAAATGACTGTATTTCAATCCCAAGATTTCTTTTTCAGCATTATGAACTAAAAGAGTATGGGTTGAGCAGTTTGTAACTGACAGCAATTCTATAAAATTGCAATGCAGCCTTGATAATTACCCTCTTCATTATTTTTTAATATATATCAAGATAAATACAGCATTTCTTTTCACTTTCAATGGCATGCATTATAATAGGAAGATGAGAAGTGGGGTGTTTGTCTCACAGTGTTATAGTTAAAAGCAGAGGCAGAGGGAAGGGTATGACATTGAAGATGCACAGGCACCCGTGTGTAATTGACATCAGTTTCATTCTACACAAACCGTACACACGCAGTTAAAATAAAACAAGATGCTCTTTTTTCACCAAGCTAAGAACTGTTGACAACTTCCATTAAAGACAAAACTTAATGCAATTAAGGATGGACAAAATGATTTTCCTCCTGTCTCAACTGAATCAATATTTACAGTCACATAGTTGGTGTTTAGACAAATTCAAGATGTAATTAATTTATTGCTCGAAAAATATACTGAGCAATTAGAGAGCCTTTGGAATCCTGCATTAGTCCAGCTTCCTAATGTATTAGCTTCATTAGCTTTCCAATTCCTCCAAGTTGATTTAAGTTAAATTCAACACATGCCATGAATTTCTTCTTGCCATTAATGGCAACTACATTTTCAGGATAAAATGTTTCCAACCTTTTCTTTCTCTTAAACATGAAGAATAAATGATGGAAATTTGAAGAAGAAATTCCTAAGTCTATGTCTACAAGGTCTATTAGCTTAAAGCTCAACTCAATGTTTTATTGTTTGTTAGTTTCAGCATTGAAAATCAAAATCTAGGGTCTTGGATATGCTGGGCTAGTGCTCTGTCACTGAGCTACAGCCCCAGCCCTTACTCCAACCTCTGCTTGAGTTTTGTGGACCCACTTTCCACCTCAATGTAACATATAGGAGCTAAAATACCCAAAGAATAGTGTGGATGGTACCATTTATTTTTAATTTGAATCAGAATCAGTGATTCAGAGACTGATTTGGATTAAATACAAATGTTCAATTATAAATCATTTCCTGATGACATTGTAAAGTTTTTCATTGATATCACAAGTTTATGTTTGGTGTTTTTCTAGTTTGCCTAGACCATGTTTAATCAATGTCAAGGAAAGATTTCTGGAAATGATCCAGTTAGTTGGGAAAAGACCAAAGTTCAAGGAAGAAATCGTTCTGTACTCTTCCCCTGTAAGGGGATCTTGCACACTGTGAAAGAAGGATAGGTGCTGAACTACCTCCTTGTCTGGTTCTTATGTATGCACACATCTGGGAGGAAAGCCCCTTTTCCTGTCCTGTTGAGCTTTGTTGAATCATCATAGCACAAGGAGGTACACTGTAGGAGCCTAGAGGAACCAGATCACTTCAAAGACTCATAGCAATGTCCCCTTCTGGGAAAAGGCAAGGCATTCTCTGAATAAACAGCCCAGATGTGGAGGCTTGGTATCAAGAGGTCCCCAAATAGGCTTTGCTTGTGAGCGTTTCTTGTCATTATGACACCACTTTGGGACCACAAGAACCAAAAGCTCTTAGGCACACTGGTAAGAAATTTAGGGGGATTCTCTGCCCATTTTTTAGGACTTTTTCCTAGGTGTCATAAGAGTGGAATACACTATCACATAGTGCAGAATAAACCATCATAGGATGTCCCAGGAGCAGAAAGTAGGGCAGAAATACCACAGCATAGTCAGACCCAGAGCCAGACCCACAAAGGCCATGTTTCTCTTTGGACTCCCTACGGTCCTGCCTCATTCAACTGCAGGTCACTGGTAACGACCCTTGTGTTGGGCAATCCTGGCAGTTACGATAGGGCAGCTGTTTAAAAACATTAACTTTTTCATTGAAAAAGAACAAGGAAAATCTACCCGAGCAGATAGTAGATAGATACTAAGCCTGGATAGAATGTTCTTTCTTCAAAGATAGACAAACAGAAACATAAAACTCAAAACCCAAACAAGTCCAGGGAAAGAATTATGCAACACAGCATTATGATAGAGCATCACTTACGAAGGTTAAAAAATAGAATATATATTAAGAAAATATTAGAGGGAACAATGTAATTTCAGATAGTAAGCATGCTTCTTTCCCAATCAAAATGTGCTTTTGCAGGTGGCATGAAAGAGATTTTGACACAGCCAACTGATAGGAAAATACTGCTGGCTGAGGTAGAGAAAGACCCAAAGGTGACTGAGACTGCATTATCACAATATTAGATCTGTATTCAAAGTGGATTTAAGAAGAAAAAAACAGGACTGATCCTTCAGAAAATTGAATCCTGATGTGGAAGGCAAATTTAAGATCTTTTTCTGAATACAGAAAGGCAAAGAACAAAATCAGTGACAGGGCACACGATGGTTTTCAATAGTTTGGACTTCCCAGATTAGGATAGTTGGAATCCCTAATGTAACAAAAATAAAATTAAATATCAAATTGAAGAAATCTTTCATGAGATTAAAAAAAAGAAAGCTCCCTCAATATGTGGAATCATATGTTTATTTAGTGCCAGACATGATTAATGAAAGGAGCCTAGGTATATGCTGGTCAAATTATTAAATAAAGAGACTATTTATTATTAATAAGGAGACTTGCATAACAAATAAAGAAGAAAGAAATTGGGAACATGAAAACGTTCTCAATAAGTAATATGGGAAATAAAAATTTAAAAATAAAAATAAAGTCTCATGTTTAAAATGGCTTTAGTTTCTTCCCTAGATTTTTCTCTTCTTGCCCCTTTTCTTTTTCTGGTTTCATCTGTTGTGTTTCATCAGTTCTGATCTTTTTTGCAAATTGTTGAACAACAACCTTGATCACCATTAATATAATATAAGTGATCCAATAATTGCTAACTTTATCAACACTAGAATGTAAACCCTACATTGTAAACCCCATCATTGGCTGTTTTCTTCATTAACATAGGTACCTAAAACATATCCTGCCACAGAATAGATACTCAAAAGTGCTGGTGTGTGACACAACATGCCTTAACGTTAACACTGCATGATTGAATTATGGCAAGTATTGTGTTAGACATAAGAAGGTAGGTGGTAGGGGTGGTCAGGAGGCCTTTGGAAAGATAGGCAATGAGAACAGGCCATGCAGAAAACTGCAATGGGGAAACCACAGGCATCCGGCTCACACTAGCCTGGAAGCACTGAAGGGCTTGGTCTAGTTGAAGAACAGAAAGGCAGCCAGTGTGGCTGGTGTGCACCAAATGACAATTATGCTGAGAGTTGGTGAATAAGACTGCAGCGTAGCTGGGCATGGTAGTGCACGCCTGAAATCCCAGCAACATGGGAGGCGAAAGCAACAGAATCCCAAGTTTGAGGCCAGCCTCAGCAACTTAGCGAGGGCCTAAGTAACTTAGGGAGACCCTGTCTCTAAATAAATAATTAAAAGGACTGTCGATGTAGCTAGGTGGTAAAGTGCCCGTGGGTTCACTCTCTGGTACCAAGAACCAAAACAACAACAACAGCAGCAACAACAACAACAAAAAAAAACCTATCAGTCTAAAAGACATCTTTTGACCTGTTAGGCAGAGTTTTGAAAGAGAAAAGAGAAGATTAAAAAAAAAAAAAAATGGTGATCACTAGTGTACTCCAGAGCTGAGAATAACAAGAGGAAGGAGAAGCTAAGATAACTGATAAGAAACAGCTGGTTAAATAGAAAAAAAATATTTCAAGACTTTGGGATAAAATGGAAAAAGAGAAGTTTCAAATGGGAAGTAATGGACCATCCAAAGGCTACTAACAATAACAGTTAAAAAAAGAATTATGGAATAGAAAAAGATTCATGGAACATGAAAACAATAATAACAGTACATATGCAGGTTTCCATGGTTCAAGAGCAGTGCTAATTCCTTTACATATATTAATTCCAATACTTTAAATCTGAGAACAGGCCTTGCAACCAAATATAACCTTATTATTTTAATTTTAAATATGTATAAAGAGAAACAAAGAGAAGTAAAGTACTTATTCAAGTTATCCAGTTAGTTAGTGATGGGGTCTCAGATATTTTGGTTCTAGAGTTTATGTTCTTCATCCTTTATGGTGGGCTTACATGGTAGTCTTTTTAAGTTTAATTAAGTGTTCAGCAAATTCTTCAAAGATCTACACTAACATATGAACAACTATTATCTTTAGTACTTAAAACATAAGTGCATCTTGTTTATATTTATTTATTGGAATTATCTATGACATGCACAAAAAATGTGATACATGCATGATTATATTTTGAAGAAATTTTCAAACTAATTTTAGGAACCTTAGGATAAAATTTGATGTGATGAAAGTAGTAACATATTCGAATTAGTTCCTTGCTGAACATAGCAAGTTAACTCAAACTCAGAGTAACAAACATCTGTTATCCAACTGTTTCTGTAGGTTAAGAATTCATGGAGCTGGGGCTGTGGCTCAGAGATAGAGCATTTGCCTAGCATGTGTGAGGCACTGGGTTCGATCCTCAGCACCACATGAAAATAAAATAAAGATATTGTGTCCATCTATAACTAAAAAAAATAAATATTAAAAAAAGAATTCATGAGCAGTTTAGTTGGGTGGTTCCAGCTCTGATCCTCTCATGAAGTTGACACTGGCTGGGATTGGAGTCATATGGTGTCTTGGCTGGGGTCCAAGACCCATTTCCATGATAGCTCACTTACATGGATGTGGGCAAGAGGCTTCAGTTCCTCACCACAGGAGGCTCTCCAGAGGGCTCCTTGAGCATTCTATTGATGTGGTGACTGGCGGCTTCTGGAGAAAATGATCCAAAAATTGGAGCAAGGAGGAATTTCCAGTGCCTTTTATGACCTGGTTTCAGAAGTTACACTTTTCAGAAGTTAGAACATAAACTCTAGAACCAAACTGTCTGAGACCCCCATCACTAACACTAGTTTTTCTCTAACATTGCATCAGAAGAAAGTCACGTCACAAAGACCAGCCCACTGAGAGATTAGTCTCTACCACTATGAGGTAAGCATGTCAAAGAATGTGTGGATGTTTCTAAATACACCGAAAGCTAAAGAAGGAGGAGGAAGAGGTAGGTAAGAAGGAGGAAAAGAAGAAAAAGAAAGAGAAAGTCAGATTGTAGAAGAAGAGAAGGTATAGAAGGAGAGAAGGAAAAACAGAAAATCAGACAAACTGTGATTTATCTGTTTAGAACTTGCGACCACTACATGTTACGAATACACTATTTTATGATCTTTATAGATCATAATCTTAACAATGAATTTATTGCCAGAAGTATATGTTCGTTTTAACCATTGTTATTACTAACACTTTAAATGACTCTTTCAACTTTAGTAAAATGATTTAAGTGGCTTCTTTGTTCCAACATGCTGCTCTTATGAAAAGTCTTTCATGTGCATCACTGGATAAAATAAAAGATTTGAGTACAGACCTTTCTATTGCAATTTTCTTCACTTTATATTAATTCCTATGTGTACTGGGTAACCCCTTCCACTTCTCCAAGATCAATTTTCTTTTTCTGTGGGTCATTCAACTAAATAGATTTTCAGTTTCCATTCAATTCTGAGATTTTTAAGTGTGCAGTAAATTTCAAATTTCTAAAGGCCAAAAGTTTCCATTTAATGAATGATGGATGTGGCTTCACCACTGCTCTCATGTAAGGGAAAATGACATTTGACATCAACTAGAAACACAAGGAAGGAGAATACCAAGAAGTTTGTTGTGAACTATGATGCATTCAAAGCTTTTGTCTTAGTGTGAGACCCCACAAATAGGATTCAAGCCCCAAGAGGGGACAATAGGAGGCAAAGCTCCCCCCAAGAAGGTACCATTTCGTCTCTTAGTAATCTAGGGAATTCTTTCATGGATCCTGCCTAGATGCTTTTACAGAGAAAACACATATTGTGTAAGAGAAATGGATGAACATAACATTTTTATCTTAAATTTCTGATTTGATGGAGCCTTCATTTTGATACAGTGTTCTTTAGCCCCTGTCTTTGGTCATCGGAACTAACGTAAGTTAATTAGATTTATTGCCTCTGGTTTACTTGATCTATACAAATGCCTTCACTATTTCAATTTGACAGGGACATACATAAACTGTTAAGGGATCAGGTTCTGTCATTTCATATTATTTTGCCGCCTTATAGAAATGACCTCTCTCCCTTTTCCTCTGACACAGTCTGTTGTGAGAGGTCATTTCAATCTGCTCCATTTCAGAACAAAGTCTCTGAGATTGGTTTTGAGATTCTGAATTTCTATTTTAGCTCCCCACATGAATGACACCAAATATTTTGTCATGTATTCGATGTCATATCTTATATAGAAAGAAGGCACAGAAAGAAGGGGAGGGGAGAGAGAGAGAGAGAGGAGAGAGAGAGAGAGAGAGAGAGAGAGAGAGAGAGAGAGAGAGAGAGAGAGAGGCCTTCCTTTAAGCACTGTTGTTTTGAATTGAAATTGTGACAATTTATTAACACAGCGGCAGTCTTTCTAATTAAGCTACCAATATTGCTGCTAATAATCTTCATTGTTTAATTCAAAGTAAGCCCCTCCCTCCTTCTCTTTCTCCCACAGAGGGGCATTTCTGCCCCCCCTGCTTCACCAGGCTTATAAAGCCCATGGCTCATCAGACTTGTAGTCTACAGTTCCTGATGCAGAGGAAACTATTAGTAACTATTTCATGGAAAATGTGTTCCCCACAGTGACTCCTTTTATTTTTTTCCTGGAGTTAAAATGTTTTAATTAAGTATAATCCAATGTTCCTGAAATTTGCAATTACTTTTCTTTCCCTAATGTTTGGAGTGACTCCTGGCTTTGATTTGTTATGTCTTTGTTTTTTAGTGGAATCGAATTTCCCACCTTCTGCCTGAGCTTACTGCTCTGATTAGGGTCAGGTTGGAGTGGCTGGTGGGTTATGACTTAAGAGCATTAAATTTGTTTTGTCCCTCATGTCTGGCCTATCACTAACCATCTTCAAGCACTTCCCAAGATAAGATTAAAAGACATCGAACCAGAAAGAAAACTGAAGCCTCACAATTAAAAAGACAGGTGTTGCCATTTCTGTCTTTAATGCCAACTTCAGTGTAGTCAAATAATTTAAGTGCCATTTTTTTACCAGGTTCTAGTATTTCTTACTCCAAATTGTGTTCCAGAGATCCACCACAAGACTTAAAATGTGTCTTTTCACAGCAACTCCATCTTAGCTTGTGGTTATTGCAATCCCTGCCCAACTGCAGTTTTATCCTTACTTAGAACATGGCTATACATTCAGTATCATATCTGTTTTTCTTCCTATCTTTAGCTGTTAACTTTTTGCCAGTATAGATCACACGATTCTGAGATCATTATTATAATATCATAAAAAGTAGAGTATTTCAGGTGTGCAGTGATATGAATTTTTTTCAGCTGTGAAAGCTGTAAACTCAGAACTAAGGAGCTGCAGCGGCAGGATTATCTATCCATGAGGTGAGAAAAGAACATCAGAGAGATGCTGTTGCAGACAACAGCCCTCCAGAATGTGTCTGTGGTTCTCTGTGTGTCCGAACACTGAAGCTTTATCACTGCCCTCATCTTGGCAAAGACAGAGCATCGGGATGTTGTAAAAGCCATTTCTACCCATGTTTTCAGTCACCTCCCAAAATTTCCCTCAAGGAACCTGGAGGTAAAGATTTGACAAAAATTCTGCCTTGACCATTGTGCACCAGATGGATAGTTCATTAATTCTACTCGTTTATTGTATTTTGTGAAGTGATTGAAACTCAGCAACTGAACACATAATTTCCTGGATCTGAATGCTATTATACAGAAAGGGCTGCCCCCTGTCCAAGATAAAGAACTTTTATAAGCTTAGACCCCAATCAAGAAGAATCTTTTCCCATTAATATGACTGATGGCATCTCATAGGTTATCAAAATGCATTCATATCCACTGATTCTATTTTTGTATGTGTTTATGCAGTACATGTATACCTGAGCATAATAAATTACAGTCCAATCTCACTGCTGGAAAGATTTGTTCTTAGCTCATTCTTTTGTCCTTGTGAAGTCTGAATAAGTTCAGATTCATTCAATATTTATACTTAGACCTGAGGAGTCACCAAAGTTCACCAAACTTTTCAAGTTAGCTCCTCCTCTTCTCAAGTCCTCTGTACTCTCTGTGTTAACTTTCACGTGAGGACCTTATCTTATCCTCAAGAAAACACAAGCTATGGCAGGTGGGTTTACTCATCATCCCACTAATGAAAGTTCCCATATTTGGAGGTATGTTCTGTGCCTGTGTCACCAGAACCACATCCTACATAGGTTCTAGGCCTTTCCTCCATTGTCTGCTCCAGGACTTGCTCTGACTCTCCTGGCCTCTTTCTGTGACATTGTTTCCTTCCGCAGATTGTTCCAACACTGTATGAATGGGTTTTAGCATTCCTAAGGAAAAAAAAAAAATTGTGTGATCCTAAATGACCCTCCAGTTACTGAGTCATCTACAAATTTTATATCAATATCTGATGTCTCAGTTTCTTTACCTAAACATCTTAACATCACCCCTGCACAGTGTCATAAGGCCTCTTGCTATAGTTTGAATCTGGAATATCCTTTAAAAGCCTCTGGGTTAAAGGCTTGTCCCCCAGATGGGGCTATTGGGAGGTGATGGAGGCGGGGCCTGGTGGGAGGTCCTCAAGTCATTGGAGGTTTGGCCTTGAAGGGGGTCCTGGGCTACAGCCTTTTGCTCTTTCTTGTTTGCTGGTCCCCTGCATGCTTCTACCACGGTGCACTGATCTGCCACAGGCCCCAAAAAAATGGGGTCCATCCGTCATGGACTGAAATCTCTAAAACTGTGAGTCAAAATCTCTTTACAAGTTGATCTCTGTTTATAAGATGATGATCTCAGGTGTTTTTATTATGAGGGAAAGGTGGCTAACATGTCTTCTATGATCCTTCATGTTGTCAATTCAAAGTTCCCCTCTCTCTTCTGGTCTTTCCCAAGTTCGTGGGGGTTTTCCCTACCATTTCTGCTACAACTGCCCTTCTTGTCTTTTGTAACACCCCCAAGTAGAAAGAAGCTGAATGAAAGTAGTAACCACCTCGTGTCCGAGTTCTAGCATGAGTGGAACATGGTGTAGAAGAAATAATAACAATGAGGCTGATGATTATTTTCAATAATTATAAATTGTCCTTATAATTATTTTACTGGTTGTCATTGTGTGTTGCTTCATATTTTATAGGTACACCAAATTTAAAAATCCTTTCATTAGAAACCCTCTACTCCCTTTGGGGAATACTTATCCCACCTGCTCATTATTTTGTCCCAGGTATTCAGCACTCCTTTCCCAATTTGTCTGCCTAGAAAAATCTGAGCAGCACCCATGTTAAAAAGACCCAAATGGAAGCACCAGTATTAAAAAGACTCTCAGCTAGGAAGGTAACATTATAGAGGTGAGAATGGGTCAAATTTATTATTTTTTGCCTTTATACTTCAACATCTGATAGCACACTTAGAAAATCTTCCCTAGTTCAAGATCATGAAAGTCCTGCCCTATATTTTATCACAATGCCTTTCTGAGCTCATTTTATTTTTTTATTTTTAGTCCATCAGGAATTCATTTTATCATATAAGCAATATATCCATATCATTTACCAAAAAATCTAGTACTTTACTTACTGACTTGAGAGAGTTTATTATATATTCAATACATGTGTTTAGGTATGTTTCTGGCTTTTACAATGTGCTTTTGATGCTTGTGTGAAATTCGAATTGTCTTAATTACTCTGTTTAAAATGAAAGTTAATGCTTTGTATAACAAGGCTGTCTCCTTATCTTGCAATTCTCATAATTTCTGTTGTATTCCAAATAAACTTCTGAGTCATTTTTCAAAACTCTGAAGAAAAATATCTTTGTTGTATAGAATAATATCACACTACATTTTTACATTAATCCTGGAAAAATATATTTCTTTGTGTCATAAAATCTTCTGCTTTGGTACATGAATATTTACATATATTTGAACTTTCACTTATTACCTCAGTAAATCTTCCAATTTTCTCTCTTTAGGTTAGTATTGCAGTTAACTAATTTTCTCACTACATATTATACTTTGCAATTTTGAATATTTTTCCTCTGAAAAAGTTTCTACATATAAGTTGTGATAAAGTTGTAAGTTCTTAATTATTTTATGACTCACTCAGTTATTATATTATTGCTCATAATATTTCCACTGATTCAGGTGATTACTTTGGGTTTTCTGAGTAGCATACATAATATATTAAAGTTCTGGTTTTGTCTCTTCTTTGTAATAATTGTATCTATAATGCATTTTATAGCCATTGAGTATTCATATGTGTCCCAAATAGTTGTAACTACAGTTTTGTCACTAAAATTTGTTTTGTTCAGGTTTTTTTTTTTTTATTTTTGGTACTAAGGATTGAACTCAAGGGCTCTTATTTAACCACTGAAGCACATCCCCAGCCCTTTTTATTTTGTATTTTGAGACAGAGTATCCTCATGTTGCTTATGTCTTCACCAAGTGGCTGAGACTGGACTCAAACTTATCCTCAAGAAAACACAAGCTATGGCAGGTGGGCTTACTCATCATCCCACTAATGAAAATTCCCATATTCGGAGGCATGTTCTGTGCCTGTGTCATCAGAACCACGTCCTACATAGGTTCTAGGCCTTTCCTCCCTTGCCTGCTCCTCAGCCTCATGAGTCACTGGAATTAGAAGAGTCTGCCACTACGCCTGTCTTGTCTGTTGTTTTAAGATACTCTTTAAATGTGTAAGAACATTTTTTTCAGTTTTTATACTTTTAAAAATAAATGAATATTAAATTTTAACGATTTCATCTATAAAGGAAACCACATAACTTTTCTCCTCTAGATTAACGCTCCTTAAATTCTTTGAAAGAAACCTTCTGGTTTTGTTATATTTCTCAATGTTTTGCTAATAATTTGTTGGAGCATTTTGTAAGCTTACTCATAGTTGTGATTGATTTGTGTTCTTTGTGTGATACCTTATTAAGTTCTTATCAAGAAGAATATTGTGTTACACTAAATGTTTCAGGAAGATTTCTTTTTCTCTGACCTAGAATAATTTAAATAGCATAATAAATTATCAGAATGTTAAGCTTTGATAGAACCATATTCAATAATGTATGCATGCTCTCTTACCTCAAAATGTTTATCATCTAATTTGCATTCAAATCATGTCAAGAAGACGCCATTTTAGAAAACCTGCAAATTATTTCAAAAAAAAAAATGGAGTTTAAGGTTAAAAATCAGGATACCTGGATTCTTTTCCAAGTTCTTCCACTGCCTGCAATTTTGACTAAGTCTTTTTCTGTTCTGGACTGAGTATTTTGTTTAGAAAGCAAAATAGAAATGATGAGACCTGAGATCATGTGTTTTGCTATGTGATTTTTACAAAACATTTGATTTGCTCCACGTCTTAACTATTTTATTTGCATTACATTTTAAACTTTGCCAAACTATACTGACAATGCACTCCAGATTCCTGAACAATGACTATGTTGTGCTATGAAACACACATGGTTTGACAATGCCACCGAAATCTCTCTCAAAACAGATAGTCACAAGACAATGCCTAGTTTTTAATGAGAGGTGAATGCATCCTTAGGTTCTACATTGCAAAAAGAAAACATGGAAGAGTTTTGGGGCACCATGACTGACCTTATCTGGCTCTATTATGGTAGCATCTCAATTCATGAGACAGTTGATGGAGAAGTAAAAAAGATGTTGTATAAGTCTCATTTTATTCTTATACATTTATAATAGTATCTGCAGAATGTGAGCTCCTAATTCACATTTTATCCATCACTTATTTTATCTCCACAGATGTATGCACAATTGTTCTTTTAGGACTCTGCTCAGCCCACAGATGTCTCCACAGCTGCTCTCCATTCCAAAGGGGAATGTTTTTTTTCCTTGGAAGCAGTCATGTAAGGTTTTTTGTTGTTTTGTTTTCATTTTGCTTCATTTTTATATGAAGCATTGTAAAGATGTTTTCTCCACTGAGGGGTAAATGATCTTACTTGAAAGATAGCCTTGAAATTTGCATCAAGAAAGGTCTATGCAATAAAGCACTATCTGTATTTCTGTTCATTTTTAAATCCTGATAAATGTTTTGCATATTGGAGACTCAAGAATTATAACCACCCAGGAGGTGAATCTCACGTCTCCTGCTTCCATAACCGGAGTTGAAATGCTGAGGCAAGGTAAATAAAAGCCACAGTTCATTGAAGCCTGAAAAAAGGGGTTGGGGGGAGTCAAGCAAAATCCTGGTTTAGGGTGAAATTGCCAATGTGACTACAGCTTGGGAATTGGGAAGCTAATGATTCTATTGCTGCTTATATCATCTGCATCTCCCAGGCTTATGAACTTCCTGTTTTTATGTGCTAGGAATGACCACATTATTTGACAGGGTAAACTTGAGGTTATATCAATTATTTTTTTTTCCTGTTTTCCTCCAGAAAACCTTGATATTCATCATAATGTAAGAAAGATATTTTCTTTAAGCAACACCTATATCCAACATTCAGCATTACTTGCTCAAATTGCAAGTCATCTTATAGGAATTAAGCCTTTTACCCTCATCTTGTAAGATTCTGAGCCGACCACGGAGACCCACCATGAAGTCACAGAATGAGAGCTAGTCAGATGCTCTGGAAGCATTAGATGCATGATATCCTGAAGAAAATGTCATCAGCACCACATACCTTGCCCATGGTTCACTTTAACTTGTCAGAGATAAAAATCAATAAAGATCTCTGAGGTTAGAACCTAAAAGAATTAGGGTTTACTGGTATTTAATTTTTATGATGTTTGTGTTTTGCTTTGTTTGCTCTTTTTTCTTAGGATAGGAGATAGTTAACCCATGGTATGGAGCAAGCATTTACACAATGCATAGAAATAAATGTCTATTTACTTGTGGGAATTAATATAGTAGTGAATATTTTACAATTCAAAACTAGGCAAAAAGCATTTAATTTTTAATTTTTTTATTTTTTTATTTATTTTGTGTGTGTGTGTGTGTGTGTGTGTGTGTGTGTGTGTGTGTGTGAAACTGAAGATAGAATCCAGGGGCATTTTACCCCTAAGCTACATACCCAGTGCATTTTCTTTTCATTTCTATCCTTCTTTTCTTTTTCTTTCTTTCCTATTTTATTTTTATTTTTAAAATTTTGAGACATGGCCTTGCTAAGTTGCCCCCACTGTCCTTAAACTTGGGATCATCCTACCTTAGCTTCCCAAGTTGCTGGGAATACAAGTGTGCAATATTTTTAAAAATATAAGACAAAATTTTTAGACTACTGTTTTAGGACTGAATATTTTGGCCTTTTTACTTAACTGTTGGAAGAAAAGTACTAATACACAAGCCAGACAGATTCTAGTTCCACCTTAGAGAGTTTATGCTTCATTGGCTAAAAGTGGTATTTATATTGAATGGCAAATGTCCTACTAAACTACTGAGTATTAGGCAATTTTTAATAAATCTGTAAATGTAGGAATTCTTAGTCTGAACCACCCTTATACTGTTAAACAGAACTATACATCAGTACTGCAAGAAGGAATACATGAGACTTACCAATGATTCACTCACTAGTGATTATTTCCAATATTCAAACTGGAGACGGTTGGTAAACTTGGATCTTGTGCAATACAATGTAAAATATTTAAATAATTTAAATATTATGCATAGTCTTCAAACATATTAAGAAAGCTACTGATGATGCTTTGAATTCTTTTTGTTATCCACAGCATCCCATTCTGCCATTCCATTTGATTGGGTTTCCTTATCTGAAATGACTTGATGATAAAGGCCTGTGTATTTTGATTTATAATTTTGTATAGTTGCTTTTAAGATCTAGACTTCCATAGATATGTGTGTATATATATATATGTGTGTGTGAGTGTGTATATATATGTAAATATGCATACAAATATATGTATATTATTTATACACACATGTATATATATATATATGTTAAGAAAAATGAAGCAATGTAATCTTTTCACACTCCTAATTAGACATGAGAATTATGCAGTATCCTTCAAGAGAGGTACCATGAAATAATTCTAAAGCTATTACTTGGCATGCTCTTTCACTGGGATTATTATTGGAGCCGTTTTCTTAGAAAACATTAGTGTTACATACCATATGTTGAAAACTATTTGTTGATTTAAAGAATAAGGGCTAAGTTTTCATAGAGGAGATTTTTGTGTGCATAAAATAACACATGCAGTTACATTTTCCCCACAATTACCTAGTCATGCTATACACTGTCAACCACAAAACTCATTTGCTTCTCTTTTGAAAGATTGGCTGGCTTGCTAAAGTTGAGTTTAGTTACACATTTTTCTACCTTTCCCTCTTTTTTCAATGGACAAAAGAAATTTGTGACTGATTTCCTTGCATTGCATTTTACAAAGTACTGAATCTACAAAAACCAACAGTTTTTACTTTTATTATTGAGAAGGGTCCCCATTTGCATCAAATATTCCTATCTACAAGTGAACAACTTTACGAAGTTGCTTTTTTTTTATCAGTTGCTCAAAACATTACAATGATCTTGACATATCATACATTTGATTCAAATGGGGTATGAATTCTTATTTTTCCACGTGTACAGATTGCAGGATCACATTGGTTATACAGCCACGTTTATACATACTGCCATATGAGAAATGGCTCTACATAATAAATCATCAACTGCTCATGGTTATACATAGTACATGTCACTTTTATATGATTTCTATGTAATATATACTTTATAAATGTGCATCATAAGAATATGTTAAAAGAAGATAACAGCTTAAAATATGACAGTTACAGTAGTGATCACAACCACTATTCAATATTGTCTTGTAATATTAAAATATGAAGAAACAAATCATATATTGATTGATTGATTGATTGATTGATTCCATAGGATTTTAATTGTATAAATTAGGATTTTTGTTGACCTTTGGTCACATTTGCTTACAGGTTTACTAAGACTTGCAGAAATGTGAGCATTTTCGTGTTATTTTTTTCTATTAAATAACAAACTCTTTTGCCTCCAACAACAACAACAAAAATCTGTATCTTGGATACCAGGTCCTTTAATGAAGCTTTTGAGACTTACAAAATATGATTAATCTGATTAGTGATTCAGCCTCCTTTTATGCTTACATTATCTAACACAAAGAGCCCCCCTACAGGTTAAAGTTTAAATGTGGATTACCAGATAAAGCTAGTCCTGACGAGGTTTCTATGGTGCAAGGAAAAATTGGATTTGCTTTTCACCTCCTCTCAGGCTCTGTCATTCTGGTTTTTGCCCTGTTCCCTTGTTCACAGCAAGGATATTAATTTTGCAGTAAAATCTTTAAGCAATTATGCAGATAGCTCTGAAAAAGCAACATACACACACAATAAGAGAAGCTTAACTGAAAAATGGACCCCAGATATTCATTAAAAACAGATGGCGACATTGCCAACAGCATAACTTTGGATGTTTGGGCTAAGCTGGTATTAATCTGCCACAACATGAAGAGAAGAGGAAACTGCTGGTACCAACTGTATGTATTGCTTCTACTTTTTGCTTACAAAGGAACACAATGATGATTTATAGCTGCCTTTTTGATAAATGTCCAAAAAAGCATTCCTTACTCAAAAGTGAAATAATATTTTCATAGTCCTTGGTATATCAAATATTGATGCTCACTTCCAAGAAGCTAATAAAATATAAGTAATCATATTATTTAACATTTTTATTTTTCAAAAATTTCTATGGAAGTAGGTGAACAGATTCCATTTTAAAAATACTTTTTTAGGTTACTGAGTTTATATCTATTGAAAATAAAAAATATTTTAATTAGTAATCTTTTCAAGTTGATATAAAACACAATTTTTCACTTATTTAAAAAAGTAGTTAAATTTCTAGTCACTTCCTATATATTTGCTAAGTGAAAATCGTGAAACTTTGAATCTAAACGAAGTAGGTTAAAATTTAGAGCAGAAAAAAATTTTGACCAAGTCTTTCATACAAAAGCATGGAGGACAGAAATCCCTGTGCCACTGAGGATATTGCACTAATGATAAATGCGGAAAACATACTTATTCATTTACATAATTATAAAAAAGAACTATTGAAGAATACTTGGTGTCTAAAATTATATGCAGGAAATAAGTGGTAGAAGTTTTACAAAGGTTTTGAATCAAGATTTGGGGGGTTTTTATAAGCCAAAGTCATCAAAGTACAGAAACACTTTTAGGACAGAATTGTCCTTAAGATATGTGGATTGACTCCTATCATCATAGAAATGGCCGAATGGAGTGTTGGGTCCAAGGACTAATGGGAAGACCTTGATAGTATTCTACTACTTCATCACATATAAAGACCGAACTAAAAATGAAAGCCTGGAAGTGGCTTTTGTTATCAAGAATTCATTTTCTCTCTTTGGGTATTAAACATTGCCTTGTCTTATATAAAATAACAAATATTATTTTGTAGAAAAATTAAACAGATATTGTTAGGATCTATAAACAAGTCAAGATGGCGCCTGGCATTTTGCCAGAGGGAGTGGTTTGTGAAGTAACGCCATCGAGCCATTAAGTGTGGAGACTCCTTATTGGTTGACTGCTGTATCTAGTTTATGTTAATTAAGATAAGCTGTGTGGAATGTATGTATACCCCTCCTGTCCTACAATAAACGGCTCCCACTCCAGCTGTATCACCCACCAACACCTCCCATCCCCCCCATCCCCCCCATCCCTTCCATCCCCCCCCCCCCGTTATTTTGATGCATCCGGACTGCTGCAAGATATGCCAAAGAAAGTCCAGATCATCTCTATTCCTGTTACTGAGATGGCCAGCTACCACTAACAAACTTTTAAATATTTGTCTATGTATACAGATGTGTATTTTAAATTGGGATATTAATCTTGGAGTTTCTTCTATTACTCTAACCATCTATTTTATATAATCCAATACTCTTCAACCTCAGTTTATTGAATCCACAGTATTCCATTATTGGGATAAACTGAAAATGTATTTACTAATTCCCTATTGATGATAAACATACAGTTTGAACTTTTGTTATACTGAAAAAACATCACACAAGTCGTCTATTTGAGTAAAAATTTGTGTAAAACATGTTACTAATGAGTTCATCTTCTAAGATTATCCTCTTCTTTAAATCAAAAATTTAATTTAAAGAAGAGGATAATGTTAGAAAAAAAAAGTAGATTCATGGAGAGAAAATTCAGCAGGCTCTTTGATTAATTTAGTTTTTGTTTAAAAGCACATTCACAGTCTAAATTATTAAAATGATCTCATATGTTAATAACCCCAAACTACCTTTCCAATCTAATCAAATTCCCATCATCCCTGCCCTGCTTTTCAATCTTGTTCTATGCTTTGGCTATGCCATTCCTCTGGCATGCCCTTTGTTCTTAAGTACTAACCAAACTTGGCCATTGCTGGTCTTGCTAAGATCCATGGAGGGACTCTCTGGTGGTTCATTAAGCATTCACCACCCCATGAACCTATCACTTAACCTCACTTGTGACAGTCATTGCTGCTTCTGGAGTCTCAGTGTGCTGATCTTTATCTGAGGCTCCTTTTCCTGAAAAGACTTGTGTGTGCGTGTTCTTTCTCTATAGGTTCTGAGCAGCAATTCAGTTACGTTTCCTGATGTCTAGCATTCTGCAAACATTCACCAAAGTAGGTAATGGCCCAAGGATATCTACACAAGAAGAAAAAAACAAAACACACACGTAACAAAAGGGGCATGACTACCTACGCAAGTCCTGGACTGAGCTGC